AATGACAACTTCTTTAATTCTAGAGCACAACGTTTCGATACAGGTACTTGTATCGTTTTCAAGTATGAAAGTGAATTAGTTATGTATGTCATAGCTGGATGATAAATCATAAGCACTGGTAATCGTAAATTACTTCTTGAATTTTTCTGGGTTGTACCAAAAGTTATTCCAATGATTTACAGCATTGCTGTTTCCATACAGCAGTGTTTAAATAACTACACAAGTCATCATAGAACATGCTGAACATCTGACATAAAATTTGATAACTGAACATTATACTCTTCCTACTTCCCTACTGAGGAGAGTTCCTGTCTGGACAGGTTGTGTAACAGGATCGATGAATTATGTGTAATGTACACTTTTCTCTGAACCAAACCTGTTCGGTCAGCTCATTTCAAAATGGCTTTAAACTTCATTTTCATTACAGTTTAATGTTTTTTCCTGAGAAAGGATATACATATATTTTCAGTAGTCTGTAAACGACCTGCTACAAACATGCCATCAACCCTATCATATTATTCATAAAGGGGTAGTACACCAGGAAATGTCATCTGTCTTCCTGAATTTTACATGATGATTAATACTAATAATATCACGGATATCATGGAAAAGTTAAGAAAATAAAACTTTACCAGGATCAGTCTTTGGACGATGTTGAAGATTAGGAATGTCACGATGTCACGATACATAGGGATGTCATTATACATAGGGATGTCACGATACATAGGTTTGATGTCGCGATACATAGGGATGTCATACTACATAGGGATGTCATGATACACAGGGATGTCGCGATACATAGGGATGTCACGATACATAGGGATGTCACGATACATAGGGATGTCACGATACATAGGGATGTCGCACTACATAGGGATGTTGCAATACATAGGGATGTCATGATACATAGGGATGTCATGATACATAGGGATGCCACAATACATAGGGATGTCATGATACATAGGGATGTCACGATACATAACTTTCATGAATCGTTATGCATCACGATACCCATGTCACGATTTGATACATATCACGATACCTATTTTCACAGCATTATAGCGTAAATTTAGTTACATTTTGAACATTAATATTACATATTTTATAATTGTCCATGAAAAGATCAACATTTTTATTTTCAGAGAATAAAAAGTTCTAATTTCCCATCTTTGTGCATGAAACATAATCATTTATAACTCTCATAACATCAAAAAACATAATACAATTGCAAAATGTAAACAATACATAAACATATTTAATTCAATACTTTCAAAACTAAATATTGATAATAATGATACAGTTTTGAATGTATCGATAAAACTTAAAATATGAATGATAATAATGCATTGGCATCCCTATGGAGGACTGTAATACGTTTGCATTTATTAAATCAGATATAAGTTAATATAAAGGTTTATTTATGCCACTTTGAAACATTGTTATCAAAGAAAACTGAGCTCAGTATGATCCCTATATTAACAATAGGCACAACAAATATGTGACAGTAAATCATGTGCATTTCAATCACCAGTCAAAATATGAAATGTCATCCCCACCTGCAGTTTAAATAGTTTATAGGGCAATGCATGTTGTATTTAATACAGAACACAAGGTACACATCTCAGAGAGGGGAATATCTGCATATTCCCCGGGAATATACCTGATAGTTATACACAGTTAAACTATGTAATACTATTACCATACTATTGAGCCACTTATAAAGCAGAAGATTACATACAGGCAATGACATGACCTCAATATCACAGGAAACATGTCAATGCGCATTCAACCTGCATTCTCAACTCCATGAGAATCACACAAACCTAACTGCCTCTTACATATAATTTTACATCTAATCCTACTAGGTACCCATTTCTGCTGGGTGAAGAGGAAGGTTTGGAACATTATCTACAAAAGACATCGTTCTTTTATCAGTGTCCTGCCACTCATTGTGGCTGAATTTGACTGGATTGAAATCCGTTTGTCTTGTTTGTTACACCCAGCAATATATCAGTTATATCACAGCAGTCTGTGAATATTGAGTCCTAATGATTGATATCATGAAGAACATCATACAGCATACAACACTGGGGTATATGATACACTATCAACCAAGTCACCTGATAGGCTTCAATGGACCTACAGTAACTACACCAGAATCCCCACCCAGGCCTTTGAGTCAAGCATAGCACCAGTCAGATCATGGAGGGTACATAACATAGGATAAAATTTCAAACTCACTTACATCAAGTTTCACGGTTAAGAACCACTTCTTGGCAGGATGTAAAGCCGTTCATTATTTATGTGTTTCAGGAACACCCACAAAATCATGAACTCATTGAATAAGACATCGTACAGACCCAATTGTTATAATCCATTTAACATGTTCAATAATTCAGGTGTCTGTTTAAAAACTCTTTTCATCAATACAAATCCTTGACGTAGTGTTACATACACCATGACAAAATCTGGATCTAATTTCATTACACAAAGAACATTGCAGGAGAGTCTCAGTCTCAGACTGCTGTCTTCCTTGAGTAAGTGAGTCAGTTGAGTTTAATGTAGCTTAGTGAAGTTTTTTTCAGTTATATCACAGTGTGTCATGCCTGATTGTTTCTCGGTTTGTCAATACCATACCTGTGTCTTACATGACACAGATGTGTCTTATAGGGCTCCAGATAAGAGCCGTATCAGCGTATGTGCGGACATAAAATAAGCACGATACGGTAGGAAATAATTTAGAAAACGTAGCAGATACGCACCACAGCAAACGGTCTTAGATTCATTTACAGACGTATTTATCTGAAAAAGTATTGTTTTATTGTTTATTGACCTGTTTACACAAGAGTAGCAATGTTGTGATGCATAAACGAAACACAAGATTACTGATACGCCATTAAATTCCATTCACTACTCTAAATGTACTCTTATTGTTTTCCAGGGCCTAAATTTTCTAAGCTCTATTAGCGCTAAGATAGTCATAAGTTAATGTTAGGGTATGGCACTTACGACTATATTAGTACTAAGAGAGCTTCGAAAATCTAGGCCCTGTACTCCTGTATTGAAAAATTAAGGAGTACGTTCTCCTGATCATGAAAATTTATCTGGAGCCCTGGTATTATATTAATAGCAGGTAAATCAGGGCTTCTGAAAGGAGAGTGAGTAAATCAGGTTAATATTTTTATCATTACTGACAAAGGTCTTTGTTCGGTTGATGTGTATCACCACATTCAGCATTATTCCAGCTATATGACGGCATCTGAAAATGATCGAATCTGAACTAGACATTCCAGTGATCAATATCATGAGCATCAATCTACACAATTGGGATAAGATGACGTGTCAACAAACCATGGGTCGCTGAAGACCAATTTTAAGCGGGATCTTCAGGGGTGTACTGACAAATGACAGCAAATACTCACAATCAGCTTCACAATGTGTTTACATAGAAGTAGACACGTTCTGCACATGCAAGCACTGGATAATTGTTTTCCATCACCACTGACCAAAGATCACAAGGTGACACTGACTCTATAAAATGTGGAATATCATCTGAAACCATTTACTGTTCACAGTGTTCCAAAACAGGTCAAAAAAGCACAACTACAATGAAATCTCATTAAATTAGGTCAATGAATATTCATCAAGCTCATAGGAAGTGCATTGACAAGACCTTGTAAAATATAATCACCCAGATATGCAATATTCACGACACTGTACAAGGCAAAACTGTAACTGTGGAATAAGATCAATTCAATACTTTAATAGTATAATGGTGGAAAATCAATTCAAGATGAAGTGAACATTATATTTGGCAAGACAGTATGAATATTCTACATATTCTAATCAGGAACATCCTATCCGTCTGTAGTATCACTACGCAATAGAATGACATTAATCACTCAGCAGTTACAGGATATATAGCAATCTCACTGTGATATCGCATGTATAGGCAATATACAGAGATCATCAAATATAGGTTCCACTATTTCTGTATATCTTTAACAATGTTTCTACTGTCTATCATTCGTAACATATGTTATATTTGAGATTACATTTTCGTAATAAAGTACAGATTCTAGCACTTTTGTTGGGTTGAGTCAATCAAAAAAAAGTACTAGAATCTGTACTTTATTACGAAAATGTAATCTCAAATATAACATATGTTACATTTGACCACTTTCCAAATGGCATTGTGTATTCAGTCTATCATTCATCAACCTGCTGATGCTGCATAATATAAGATGTTACTATTAAGTGAAATTGTAGCTCACCTGAATATGTAATCAACAGTTTAAAATGTTTAAAACATGGACATGTATAACAGTTTCGTCAGCAATAATTATCTACATAATTACCAGCGACTAACATGTGACAACAATAAGCAATGACCAGATCAAAATATAATGTCATCACAAGCAGAAACAAAAGTTCAGTTTTTCGATATCCCTGTTGAGAGGCTATGTGGAAATCAGACTGAACGTCTTGAATTGGAAGGAGGTCACCAGTGGAGGGAGTGAGTGAGTGAGTGAGTGAGTTTAGTTTTACGCCACACTCAGCAATATTCCAGCGGTCTGTAAATAATCAAGTCTGAACCAGACAATCCAGTGATCAACAGCATGAGCATCGATCTGCGCAATTGGGACCGATGACATGTGTCAACCAAGTCAGCGAGCCTGACCACCCGATCCAGTTAGTTGTTTCTTGTACGACAAACACGGGTAACTGAAGATCACTATTCTAACCCGGACCTTCATGGGTAGAACAAGCAGGTGAAGTTTTAGGTTCACTGGTCCAGTAGTTTTATGGAAGACATTTTCAGACAACAGATGACACACACCAAATTGGCCACTAAATTTCAAACAAATGATCATCATCTGATTGCACAAGGACAATGTCTCTGGTTCTTTCATTGTATTCACAACATGCATTATGGAGGCTAGATTCAAAAGGAAAGGGGTACACGACTGTGAAGTCTGTTAACATAATGTGACTGTCACCTGTTATAGACTGTTGGACATCACTGCTGTCGGCCTACTCAGCTTGTTAAAATGGTGTCCGTGTGTTCTGGCACCTGTCCACTGTGTTGTCTGCAATACAGAGAATGACGGACATGATGGAATCATCAGACAGCAAGATAAAATACCACGTGTGGAAGTTATGTAAAACATCCCCGGTGAATGCTAAGTGCCAGCACAGCCAAGTCCCAACTGTTTGAAATGTACGAGGGAACTTAAAAATATTTTTTGTTTTCCTGACCTGATTATAATAAGCTATCATAATGATGATCATAGCCATAGTGAGTGAGTGAGTCAGATTAATTTTAACCATTTTTAGCAATATTCCAGCAATATCACAGAAGGAGACACCAGAAATGGGTTTCAAACATTGTACTCATGTCGGGAATTGAACCTGGGTCTTTGGTGTGACAAGCAAACGCTTTAACCGCTTGGCTCCCCCAACGCCCTGATTCTTATCATAAGCTCTCTATACTTAGGGGTTAAACTGACAAAAAGTTGCTTGAACACACAATTCAACTTCACAGTCAAACAATTTGCATGACTGTCTGGCAGACCCTAAAGAATAAATTGAAAAGCAAATGCAACCTCAGCCTACCGTGATTTGGCAAGTCTAGACTACCTACGCTCTTGGCAGAAATTAAGCTTTGTTCAGCTCCATTTGAATGTTACTTATTATTGTGTGGATGTATATATCTTTAAACAAGGCAACTTTATTTTAGGGACTAAAGGTATGTCCACAAACCGGCTGATCCTACAACAACACTGATCCAAGTTCAGCCATCAATTATGCTTAGATATGTGGATAGTTGGTTGAATGAAACTACTTGACTATATAATGAATATCTTAGTGTGAATGACCGAGGGAAATGACTTTAGAGGCACATTCAACAGTATTCTTTTTCAGAATCTGTATTTACCTTCCAGTACTTTTCACATCATCAAAGATGTTTGTTCTTTTTTTAATATCACACAGAGCAATATTCCAGCTATTTGATGCCTGTATGTAAATATTTGAATGTGGACCTAGCAATCCTGTGATTGACTCAATGCATTTTTATCTGTTATTGAGATACAAAGACATACATCTACCAAGAAAACAATCAAATCCTGTGAGACAAAATTTGGTAAACATGATAACAAACGCAAGTAACAATGCATCGAACTATGGAAACGAAAAACTATCGATGCATCGATATTATGTGTGACTATCAATAGTTTAGTAATTGACTTCCGTTGATAAATGTGTAGCACAAAATACAGGAAGTACCAGATACGTTCACTTTGATTTGGAGTTATGCGGCCCTGTTATCTCTTAAACAAACATGGCAGCAAACAAGGCATGCGATTTGGAGTTTGAAATTGTGAATAACAATAAGTTTTAGCTGTTTACTTGATCTGGGTTTCAAGTTTCTTGTCAGTTATTAAAAGAGTGAAGTAGTATACACCCTGGTCCCACCCTTTAACTGGAACATCTGATTAAATCAAATAGATTTTAAAAATACCAAAGTCAAGAAAGGCAAAATTCTGTCAACAGTCACGAAAGTAAACATCATTAAAGGATTCAAAACATGTGACCAGCAAATCATAACTTTAGATCGCGGTGGATGAGCCGACCATTTTAATGCATCAACACATTGATAGCATACTGATTAAGCTAGTTCAGCTGGTTCAGCAAGTACACTCAAACTCAAATGTTACCAGTGTAAACGTAATGCATGTATTCATTCATTCCATGCAACATTTAATGCTGAACAAGCTAGATAAAATCATTAATACATAAACTACATATATAACACATCCAGTGTATAAATGCTAAGTTGTGCATTTCCTTACATAAACCAACAGCTGCCTGTCATTATTTTCATTAGTTCGTGATAGAACATGGTGATCTACCGGTACAAGCATGTTCAGGAGGAAGTGACCTACACTAGGTCGGCTCGTTCAGTGTTTACAAACACAGCTGTTGGTACATGGCCTACACACAAACAAATATTACTTTTTAACAACATACACTAAGTTAAAATATTTACATCATAAACAAACAATATAATAGCAAAAACAAATTCTTCATTCCATTACTTGTTATTGGTGGGTACAATGTGTACTGTGGGGAATTGGTTAAAATCTCATAATTGAAGATCGGTTCATTACAACCGATCAATCATCAAAAATAATTGGTTTGCGTCATTTATGAAATTTTCCTAGTTATTTTTGTTTGCACTAAAACATAGAAAAAAACATGTAGTTCTTTGGGTTGTTTTTTTTCAAATTGCACATCTTTAAAAGAAGACTAGTATGTTAGGAACATAAATGTCTTAGGGTCTTTAAGATAAATTCAATCATGACTTGGAACGAGCTTGTAGTGCTCATGAAATGTAACAGACAAAACCAACCATGTGAAAAATATTGTTAATGCAAAAAGTGTTCCAGAATTGTTTGTGTTCGATAATGAGAAAACATGATAGATTGCTTGGTCGTTCAGTCACTGCGACCAATCTGATTATTTCAATTAATTGGACCACCACTATGAATGTGTGAAGCCTATTTCAGGTGTCCCCTGCCATAATATTTCTGGAATATTGCTAAAAGCATGTAAAACCCAACTTACTCAACTCTCACCAAACTAAATGACAATATTAAGTTACACGATGAAGTCAATAATGATAGGCAAAATGATGTGCAAAATGGTTGAAGCCATCAAGAAAGATAATTGCATATTTCAAACCCAAACTACGTCTAAAATGCAGCTTTCTATTCAGGGTAAATACTGAGCATTTACACAGCTTCTTCGTCAAATGTGATGCAGGTGCCAGGAAAATGGAGATTTACTAAAGGGAGTAAATCAAATATTTTAAAGCAGACTTAAATGAAACTAATCATGAATGCCAAAGGGTCCTTGTCATAGCCACAAGGTAAAACGATGAAAATTTAGGGGTCCCAAGATTCACATGCAAGAAGAAAAGCCATCAAGGTCCTTTTCAGTTTCACCGATGCACTAAATTCATTTAAATTGAAGGATATTTTTTGTAAGATCTTTGAGCCAATACTGGCATGGTCTACTCAATGTGTGGGATCAAGTAAGCCTTGTTGAATTAACTTGTCCTGCTATTATGCAAACAGGTAAAAAACGAGGTTAATTTTTCCATCACACTGAACAATACCTAATTCTGATTTATGAAAATATTTATTACAATCAGGTATCAAATTCAATTTGATGTCTCTAGATAACCTTTTGGCATGGGAATACCTTGATCTTTTGATGGCCTACATATCAATGTATAAAGCAATAGGTCTACAACGATTCACCCAGACTTCAATTCGATTCCATTTTCAATATTGGACCCTCTATTTGATTGTTTTCAATTTTGATTCTTCATACAAGTAGGAATCGTGAAGATCCGGGATAGAATAGGTCTTCAGCAACCCATGCATGTCACAAAAGGCGACTATGCTTGTCGTAAGAGGCCACCAACGGGATCAGGTGGTCAGGCTCGCTGACTTGGTTGACATGTCATCGGTTCCCAATTGCGCAGATCGATGCTCATGCTGTTTATCACTGGATTGTCTGGTCCAGACTCGATTACTTACAGACCACCGCCATATAGCTGGAATATTGCTGAGTGCGGCGTAAAACTAAACTCACTCACTCACTCATACAATAGAAACATCAGAAACTCTCAGAGTCAAATATCAAAATTGTAGGTAAATATCCTAACATGAAATCCTTGTCCAACATATTTTCATTGAATAACATCAGCTTTTAGAAAGTATCTCCATATAAATGATATTTTGAAATTTGCTTAATAAATTACAATATTTCTTATTTTACAATGAAACATAATTTTTAAATCAAAAATGAAATTTATCTCAAATTCTAATAAATTTATCATCTTCAATCTCAATAGCATTTATGATTAATTAATATCATTTGTGAAAAGATTTTGAAGATCTGGATTAGAATTGGTCTTCAGCAACTCAAGTTTATCGCAAGATTCATCTAACAGAATTGGGTGGTCAGACTCACCTTGTACAAGAATGTGAACTATGCGATTGTATGTCTTTCTCAAACTATCAAACACTCCTAAAACTCAATCAACTCTCAAAGAAAGGATAATGAAAAGAACCCCTTTAATGTCATGCTGTACTTTGTACGTTGAAATGTAATCTCTGAAAATTACACACCCTCATTGCTACTCCAAACCAAGAGTTATATAACACAGTGTAAAATCCTCAATGAGATGGTTTTACTACCGAATACATCTAAAATTCTAACAACATACTACTCCACCTGATTTTGAAGGAGTACATATATACATACCTGGCTGTACTAGTGTGACACAAGATCTCACTAGGTCCACACTCAAACAGCCATCCTTCAGGTTGATGGCAATGAATCACACAGAGAGGGTTCAATTCAAGTAGGGATTTCACAAGGGGATAAATAGAAGTAAACTACCTCCAGATTAAGTTGTTAGGGAGTAAACAGTAGCTTATCTCCACTGTGCAAACAAACCAGTCACTTGGAAACATACAGAAGAGTGGACATAAGCTGATATATTTCTTCAACTGGTTTAACATGTTTCAAGAATCTCCTAACTGTGATCTCTTAGACTGTTTGTACCATGATATTAATTTTGTTTGATCTAGAAGTATGTTTTTCACCCTTTCAAAATAATGGTGACACTCAGTAGTATTACAGCTATGTGACAGTTGCATGTGAACAATCAAATAGGAACCATACAATCCCGTGATTGGAATTAGGAACGAGATTTGTCATCAAGGTCCAAAGTGAGTGAGTGAGTGAGTGAGTTTAGTTTTACGCCGCACTCTGCAATATCCCAGCTATATGGCTCCGGTCTGTAAATAATCGAGTCTGGACCAGACAATCCAGTGATCAACAGCATGAGCATCGATCTGCGCAATTTGGAACCGATGACATGTGTCAACCAAGTCAGCGAACCTGACCACCCGATCCGGTTTGTCGCCTCTTATGACAAGCATAGTCGCCTTTTATGGCAAGCACATGGGTTGCTGAAGACCTATTCTATCCCGGATCTTTACGGGTCCAA